TACATAAGGCTCTGCCATTATTTTACTAGGGCATGGGTCGCTCAGTCGAAGATAAATCTCCTCGGAATTCCCGCTCGTATCGGAAGGGTGTGTCACATCTTCAGACTCATTGACCTGCCAAATTACGTTCAAAAAAGGCCTTCAGTTTGATGCTGGATAGCTAAAATGCCCCCCATGGACTCTTTTCCCAATCCACATACATCACTGTTAGCCAGGGTGATGCAGCCAGCCTCTCAGATATTAATACAATATTGTTCTCCATAGGGACATCCTAGGGCATCCTAGGGCATCCAGTCAACAGCAGGCTTCCCGACCTAGAGTGCGGAGTCCCGAGTCCCCTGCGACCCATTGAGCCTGAAATTGCCATGGATGGCCCTGTCCGCTTCAAGGATGGACGATATTCTATAGATTTTCTATGGTTAGGATTCTAAGTCTCCGGACACTCATCCGTGGTTTTCCGTCGGGCGGTCAACCGTGTGTTGGCAGCTCTCTAACCGCTGGGGATGGATTTTGATAGCTTCCCCGCAAGACCACATGCGCCAAGAGTATCGTCGCGAAAGGAAGAGAAAGGAGAATCCATAGATGCAAGAAAGCAAAACCACTCGCGATGTCACATCGAGTGAGGCCCATTGTGGGGGGTATATACCCACTATCGCGCTAGGAATCCTGGGGTAGTTAGCTAGCCCTCGTCACTATTACTTTGTATCTAACATTTGCCCACCACTTGAAGGTAATCTTGCACCGTTACGATTCTGCATACTCTGTAACTATACGGCAAGCTCAATGTCGCCATTTGGAATCTGCTTCTCTCAAGCCTCCGCTCCGCATCGTGCAATCCTGTTCATTCATTTTGCTTTTCATTCTTACTAACTACCCACCGGTCCACACCGCTCGATTCACCAGGTTAGTTTGTTTCGTTCCCCAGCTTGGCAGGTCATTTAGTTTGGGGAACTTGGTAGACTGTCGTTGCATTGCTAAAGAAAAAGATCCGCAGTCCTTGATCGATATCGACAGCCTTAAAATGAGCCACTGAGCGAAGCCAGATTTAGACACCTGTCAGGTGTCAAGCAGCGTACCTAGGTATGTCTTTGGGCAAGATTACCTTCATAACTTGCAGGATAACGTGCGGGGAAGATAAACATTAACTGCCTGAAGAATAAATACCCTTGTTCTTCCACACCCCTTCGGAGTGTGTTTTGAATTGGTGGAGACCCTGTCGCATGAAAATTGGAAACCACGCCTTCGGCCGCCTCAGTCTGCATAAACTCAGATCCTTCGACACGGTTTCCATCGGATAAATCGCCAAGGTGTTCTCCGGACAAGGTTTCTCCAGAGTGATAGAAGCGACTATACCCAAGGGGGACGTTGGGCCTGACGCCGCTAATAATCTGGGGAACATTTTCGGCTTTCGCGAGAGCCTAACCTGCGGATCTCACAACCATTAGCATCAATCATATCACCACCGTCAAGGATGCATCATACTAAACATTACAATGAAAGTGGAACATACCTCTCCTGGGCGTCGTCCTGTTTCGAAGCCCGGACTTGGCGGCTCCTTTCGAGGCACAACTTCGGGCCGTCTTGGCGCGCGACAACAAATGCCTGCCTCTTTTGTTTTAGTCGCTTCATCCTACAGCGACATGCTCCGAACTCATATATCGTGAAGAGGATGGCTCGCAAACCCCCCATGGGCAAATACTACTCTGCTATTCTCCCCGCCGTGTGTGCCAAGCCTTGTTTTTATCCACAACATGGTAGCGTTTTATGCAGTTATTCTCTTTCGAAGGAGAACGGATCCAAATGCTTTAATGCCTACGGAGTACACGTTGGCCGCGATATCACGGGTGTGCAAGCTTACGCTAAGTTAACTATTACATGAATCAGTTGCTGATGAAGATTATTCCACCAAAAGGGAAAAAAATTTGATCAATCGTCCCAACGGACAAATAATGATCCAAGGATCGCCTTTGGGGTGAACAAGCTAAGAGAGTTTAACGGGATATCAGGCACAGCCGCACAGGGGATGTCAAAACGGACTCCACTTCATCAACTGACAAAATTGTGACAATCAGGGCTTACCCCCCAGGTTAGCCCGAAATTGGAGATGATCGATGTTTCATGGAAAGGGCCCCAAAATCCACTGACACAGCAGACAGTATTCTCCCAGCCGTCAACCGAACATCACCGCGGCAGAGCTGGAGTGGGGAGGAGCATGAAAGTTTGTACTATTTTGTATGCCTCCGCCCGCTAGGGCCCGAAATTGGACGGCACCCTACAGTGGGCATGACTTCTCCGCATATCAAAGGCTTCTCTTCCAGAAGCTGTTTCTTTCCACCATTCCAAATCCAGGGCGGGAATCCGTTCTCTGGCCTTGGCTACCCTGTTTTTGACTGTTTAATTCGCCCGCTGGGAATCAGCTGGCCGCTGATCATCACACCCTAGTTTGCTAGACGCAAGCTATGGCGACCCCTGTTTATCACTTAGATGGCATACATAGTATAGTATTCCCCGCGAGTACCCATGCGATACATGATAAGCGATCCTTCTAGCTCTGAATTGCCGGGATAGGGGAGGAGTATAGAGGAGCTGCTAAGGGTGCGTGTGGGTCACCATGATTGTTATGTTGTTCTCCCTATGGAGCTATAAAGGAGGCACTTCTCCCGGCAAGATGTGTTGGATATCCTCCTCCCTCGATAGTGATCTTCATCCGCTCGAGCAATCTTTGATTTACAACTTTCCATTCTCGAAGAGTGCCTTTGGTTTGACTATCCCAAGATGAAGCTCTCCCTTCTCGCCCCCCTTGTGGCGGCCGGCCTGGCAGTGGCCGGCAGTCTACAAGCCGAGAAAAACATGCTACAGATGCAGCGCCTCATGGACATGAAGCTCGCTGCTCAGGAGAAGCTGCGCAAGGAGGGATTTTTTGATGAAGGTCGTTTCAAGTCCATTAAGAGAGAGCAGCGTTGCGTTAACGGCAAGGCCGGCGAGTTCAGCTGCAATAATGTGGACATGACATCCTTCATGAGCCATCAGGACATGGGAAGTCGCACGCGGCGAGGCAACGATGTTTGGGGTAGGTTGCCTTCTGGTTCCTTTTTCATCTTCATCTTCCTTTCTTTTGTTTTCTTTTCTTCTTTTCAATCATTTCCTGGGGCTGCCTGCTGACCTCAAACTGCGCAGGTTGGAATGCCGATGACGGTCGTGAGTTCGTTGCGGTCGGACAGACTGACGGCACTGCATTTGTCGAGGTTCTGAAGGGTGGCAAGCTTAAATACCTTGGCCGATTGCCGACGCAGACCCAGTCAAGCACATGGCGCGACATGAAAGTCGTTGATGGATACGTCTACATCGGCTCAGAAGCCCCGGGCCATGGCTTGCAAATCTTTGATATGCGGAAGGTACGAATGAGGAACAGCAACTCTCCAATTCTGTATACCAGGGGCTAGAAGATATGCTTACATGTGGCGAAATATATAGCTGGCTAAGGTGAAAGGTAGACCAGTAACCTACGACATCAAGAAGGATCTTACTGCCTGGTTCGGAGGTTTTGGTAGCTCTCACAACATCGTCTCGCATGAAGACGCCAAAATGATCTATGCCGTCGGCACGGGACGAAACACCCCATGCAAAGGTGGATTGTTCATGGTTGATGTTTCCAACCCTGCCAGGCCTACATCCCCTGGCTGTGTCAGTCAAGATGGATACGTCCATGACGGTATGTATTTCAATCCACGCCCGAATTTTCTTTTTTACCTAGTTTACGAAATAATACCTCTTTCATCTATCTAACACACCACCCCAGCCCAATGTGTCATTTACAAGGGCCCAGACAAGAGATACACTGGCCGCCAAATCTGCTTCAACTACAACGAGGACACTCTCACCATCGTCGACGTAACCGACAAGTCCAAACCCGTGCAAATCTCCTCAACCCCCTACGACGGCGCCTCGTACACCCACCAGGGCTGGATCGCCGACGAGAACATGGAATACCTGCTCCTGGACGACGAGCTTGATGAATCCGACGGCACCAACCCAGGAAAGTCAGGTCACACCACCACTTACATCGTCAACATTGTCGACCTCGCCAAACCGAAGTTCACGGGCTTCTACCAGTCACCCGTCAAGTCTATCGACCATAACCAGTACGTCATCGACGGCCTCACATATCAGTCCAACTATGGTTCCGGCCTGCGCATTGTAGATGTCTCCAGTGTTACCCAGGACCCGACAGGCAAGGGCTTCAAGGAGGTTGGGTTCTTTGACTGCCATCCCGAGGATGATTCTGTTGGCGGTGCGGTTGAGTTTGTCGGCTCGTGGAGTGTGTATCCATATTTCAAGAGCGGGACTATTGTGCTTAATAGCATTGAGCGAGGTCTATTTGCAGTGAAGTATAACCCTGCGTAGAGCGGAATGAATGGCATAGGGTATCTATGTGCAACGTTGAAGCTGTTGCGATATTGCAGGGTCTGATGACATGATCATGGCCGGAATTTTTTTGCAAGCAGGCTACCCCTGCTTTTTTCCTTGTGTTTCTAACGGGAAATTACGCAATGTATCTAACATGTCTGACATCTCCGGTGGACAATGCGTGATATGATCATGAGCCGGGTTTATGCATTAAAAGCTATCTAGTCTTTTCTAGTATATACAAATTACAAGTAACTGAGTACAAGTAAATTTATTCTAAGCTTGTTGCGGTCTTGAATATGCCCGTTTCCGACATCCTTGTAATAATAATCTATCATGCTTTAATTTTACGAAATGTGTAATGCATAATTCCCAGTCCACTCTGCGCACGTTGAGCGCAGGTAAAATAGAAAGAGTAGTAGGTAATTGCACTTATTGATTAATTTGAAGTTAAAGAATATCATTTGTTATTGGTTACCATGAAACAAAATACGAAGTGCTCCCGATGCATAAAGAATTAAAGAATCGCTGCCAACATCGCCGCCCCAGCCTTATAAAATTTCCTCGGGCTGTGCTTTCGTCAACCAAGTATCGGGAAGATGGCCGAGTGGTTATGGCGCTACGTTCAGGTCTTGGCACTGCATTCTAGCAGTGCCCCGGCTTCGTAGTAGGGCAACCTGCGTGGGTTCGAGTCCCACTCTTCTCATCATCTTATCTTTTTTTTTCCATACCTTTTTTTTCTCTCTATATCTTTTTCTTTTTCCTTTTTTTCTTTTTGAGTGCCTATTATTTATTATAACGATATGTTTATTACCTCCTTTCTTCCCCAAGTCGGAGACGGGTAGCCCAAAGGATTTTGGCCTTCGCTCTTGCTGTAATCTGTTGGAATAACGTCACTACCAAATCCAAAACCTGTCCCTTTTCCAGTTCCGTTCTTAGCGGCATCCTACTTTCCTACTTCCTTGTGTCGATGGCACAGCATACAACATGCCAAGATATCGCGCTGCGTACCGAAATGTCCCGACTTCTACGACGCCTCAACAGCCGTGAGTGTCGGAGGTTTTTACTACCAGAATGGCTCCATCACTGAAGAAAACCTCATCTGGGTCCTGAACGATGTGGCTCTTACTTATGGATGAGCTGCTCCGATGGCATTTCCGAGTGTCTGTGCTTGCCAATATGCGTGGTGCAGGAGAGCCCATCCTTGAGTCTGACTTTCCCCCTGAATCAGATATGATGGTAACACTGCGTGATGAATATTATGGCAGAGAGAGGTTTGAGATGAAAGTTCAGTCAATATTGAAATCTGTCACTAAGTGTAGCTAGCTGAGATTTCAAACGATTAAATGCACATTGATGAATGCCTTGAGTTTACCAGGAATGAAACCTGCTGGTTGCAGTAGCCAGTGATGGCATCGAGATAATCGTAAGTGAGAGGCGGGTAGGTTATGACGTGAGGGCCTCGTGCCTGGTGCATCACTTTTTGGCGCCAAGAACCTCAGAAACAGATCCATTGATTCAAAGTGAAATTCTATTGAAGAATAATAATCATTTGAGCCAATATGAAGTGTTTCAAGCCAAATCAAAATCAAAATTAGAATCCAAATCAGACTCAAACGTATTAAAGAGAGGCTAAAACCAAAAAGAAAAAAAATTATTTAAGAAATATAAGGAGAAATGTAAATAAGTAAAAGAGGCTGCGAACGCAGAGAAGAAAAGAAGAGCAATATTGAAAATTCTCAAAATTTCAAAAGATAATGAATATAAAAGTTAAAAGATAATAGAAGAAAAGAGAAAAGAAAAAAAATAAACAAAAAAAGAAAAGAAAAAAGAAAATCGAAGCAAGAGAGAAGGCAAAGAGGTTGAGAGTGAGAATGAAATTTGATAAAAACATGTGAAAAGGGAAATAATATAATCATTCTCTTCTTGTTCTACTCATCACACACATAGCCTCTCTTCTTTCACACACACATGAACTCACACAAGCAAAGCTAGTTTGACTGACTGTGAAAGACGTAGAATAGAATAAGATAGAAGTGTTCGAAATAAAAGATACATAATATGAAGAATGTGTATTGATTGAAAAAAAAAGAGAAAAAAAAAGATCACTCTTCATTGTGTACTTCGTTTAGGCAAGCAAAGGCCTAGTCAAAGTCAAGGATAGCAAAGCAGTACAAGCATGCATGCTATGTCCATCCATCCAAAGATAAAATAGACAATTTATAGGGGTATTTATATTCTTTGAGCGGAGTTCGGGGCTAAGAACGAAATAAAAGCCAAGAAACAAAAAACAATTATGTTAAAAGTAGATATATTGGAGATGATGATTGATCGAAATGTAGTCAAAATGAAATCGAAAATTGAAATGTAGTGGAAATAGCGCTTAGAAAGATGTATGATGCTGTTCTTGTTGCTCTTGTTGATGTCGTGACCAATACCAGAAGGGGTCGAAGGGTGGATATGCAAGCTAAAATAAGCTTACGCCTCCACTCTTCCCAGAGGAGTAGCTGTATCATAGCTCGACTTTCTCAGTAGGTTCGGGCAACGGAACTTTGGCAGGATCCTCTTCGACAATGGATACTTCTGCTATCTCTGGCAAGGAATCATCGGCGGGTTCAGCTGCAGCAGGTTCAGGGACAGTTGGTTCAGGGACAGTTGGTTCAGAAACAACTGGTTGGGGCTCAGATTCCGGTTCGGGTGAGGCCCCAGAGACAACAGGCTCGGGGATTGTAGATGGTTCGGAAACGGTGGGCTCAGAGAGTTCGGGCTGGGGTTCGGGCTCAGGGATGGGCTCGGTTGCAGCCGGTTCTGGTTTAGCAACGGCTGGCTCTGGCTTAGGTTGGGGTTCGGGTTCGGGTTCGGGTTCAGGTTCAGGTTCCGGTTCCGGTTCCGGTTCCAGAGCTGGCTCAGATTCGGGTTCCTGAATAGCAATCTCGACCTCAGGAGCTGCGGTGGCCGTGAGCTCAGTCTGAGCCTGAGCCTGAGCCTGAGCCTGAGCACTATCCGGTTCCGGCTCCTTACGGGGTTCTACATCCCCATTTGACGACACTGTGCGCGCAAAGTTGGCAACGCTCTTCTTCGAGGACGGCGGAGTTCTCGCAGTCGCACCTGCGCTAACATTACTGCTTGCACTTTCCCCACTCCTCCTCCGAACCTTTGGCGGACCAGAACCCCGAGGTGGGCTTTTAATTTCAGCCTTGTCATGCATCTTGCTTGCGGAGCTTGCAGTGGGACGCATCATTCTTGCTAAAAACGACTCATCAGCGGGGCGGGTAGCTCCAACATTGCTGACGCGTGACCGGGGTCTGTCATGGGCTGTATTCTGCTGGGGAGCAAGGGAGGATGCTCGGGCGGCCCGTTTTTGTGTGGCAGATGCTGCTGGACCAGTTGATCTTGACGAAGCGGTATTTCGATCACTTCTCAAACTCGAGGGTTTGCGGGTGAGGGTTGATGTGCGTGTGCCCGCTTGACTTGCTGGGCGGCCATCCAGATTTGTTTTCGCTGCAAAGGACGCGGTTGGTGCTACCATTGAATTTGGAAGGCGAATTGGCTTTGTTGGAGACCTTGTGCGGGATCTGTTATTTCCAGGAAGATTCTCGGAAGATGACTTTTTCATCTTGTCCCGGGTGGGTACTGATGACTGGGGTTTTCCTGTAGGTTTGTCTGCCGTAGTCCGAGTGGGCTGTTTTGTCGCGGCAGCTCTAGGTCTGTCTGTCTCCTTGGGTGTTGTTCTGGCGCCGGGATTAGATATGGTAGTTGTTGGTGTCCTGGGGGTTCGAGGGAGAGGTGATTTCATATCTTTTATTGAAGAATTCTTAGACGTGGTGTTGTTGGCTGCATTCCCGACAACAAGTTTCGCGGGACGTGACGAATTTGTAGATGCCTTGGAATTCTTGGGCGCAGTTCTATCTGTCGATTTTCCGTTCATACGGGCAGTGGCAATCGGTGTTCCTTCCTTTGCCCGGAGCGTATCTTTTTGCAAATCACCCTTTGATTCGGGTTTGCCTAATTCCTTCTCTTCTGTCGTAGCAGTAGTCGTCAAAACGTCTCTCGAGGTAGATTGTTTGCCGGGTGTAGGGGAATCCACAAGTCGAGACGGTAATGTTGCAGCCCAAGGTCTACTGATACTCCCACTACCCAGAAGTCCGCCATTGCTGTTGTTGTTGGCATTGTTGTTATTCATATTATTATCTGGCGGCGAGGAAGCCAACGACCTGCCCATCATAGCACCCTTATTCGCACTATCACCTGAAGACGTAGTAACGGACCTCTCTATAGGGCTACCCACATCATCAACGCCAGTAGACATAGTTCTGGTCAGCTTCCCAGGGGAATTATTGGTGCTGCTATTGTTAGTATTGGTATTATTGTTGTCCAGATCCGTCGCCTTTCTCAATCCCCACATAGGAGGACTTCCAGGTTGACCAGTACGTTCGACGGCCACGAAGCTTGCTCTAACCTTGGAGAGAGGGCGGACGGAGGCGGGACGGTCATGATCGATTGGTGAGCGGCCTCTCGAAGGGGGAGAAGTTGATGAGTTGTTATTGTTATTGTTCTCAAATCGGGCCAGCAGGCTCCGGACACCAGTCTGGGCCCGGCTGTCCGACATGATGGATGATCAGGAGGGATCAATTAATCAATCAATCAACCAACCAGTCAACCAGTAAATCAGTAGCGCGGGGGACGGAGGATGTGATTGCTGGCGGGGATGGAGGTTAGGGGAGAGGACGCATGCAGGTCGAGATGTGGTTGTCTGTAGAGAAGAGGTTGAGACGAGAACAGATTGAGAAAAAAAAAAGAGAGTGATACGAGGGGATATTGCTAGGGTGAGGGAGGTTGGCTTGGGGGGGGGAATTGTGAAACCGGCGACGATGCGAGGGTGAGGTTGGAGTTGTTGTTGACCTTGAGGGTGAAGATGAGGATGAGGCAGAAAAGGGAAAGGAGCAACAACGCGTAGGGAGCAGGTAACGTGATTGACGGGTAGCACAGCGCCCGCGGTATTCAGGGAGAGACGAAGAAGCCAACACAAGAAGAAGGATGATGATAATAAATTACGAAAGACTAGTTACTCATAAATTCAATGGGATGAGGGTTGAGGGTAATATAAGAATCCAAGAATATTTACGTTGGTGATCGTCAACGGTGTTCTTTTCTATTTGTTTTCTTTTTCCTTCTGTGGTGCTGCAGGCCACGGAGTAACTACGGTGCGTGGAGTCAAGGGTCTGTACCCCGTCTCTTACATCTTTACAACAAGAGGAAACATGAAAAAAGGGGCTTGCTGCGGGTCACATGGGGGACCATGGCTGCAAGGACAATATTTAACTAATGCAGTGACTGTACACCCATCCACCGCCAGATATAAATAATTGACGAACGCGGTGTTCAGTAGCAATCAGCTATTTTGTCACCTCAGGAATATGCTCTTCGGGAATCGAGGGGCCATCTACCTATCTATCTCTCTATCTGCCTCCAACGCCCCGGCATGTTGCATATATTGACATAGCAGCCAATCAACAGCTGTTCTCGTTCGGAGTACATACATCCAGGAGCACCAAGACAGGACGAAAGAAAGGCAAAAGCTATCCCAGCGTCATTTAATTTTGTATGATCCTGTGCCTGACCCAAATGAAGAATTGTTGCCAAATACTACTCTTAGAGAGTGTTGCGTTGAGCGGGATATAATCCTGGCTCAAATGCAATCTTTTC